ATTCAATCTCATCCTGCAAGTCCATCATGGCCTTTCAGAATGCCAGTCATTGGAATGAGTGGATCAGGTAAGACTAATATCTTGGGAAATCTTTTTCTTGGTACTAAAGCTGAATGCATATGTAAAGGGCCAAAAGGCACTTCATATGGCTCTAGATATATTGCATGTGATGATTTGATAGTTTGCGGTTATCATCCTGATGAGCTGAAGTGAGCATTTGTAAGATATATGTATGGTATAATTTCAAAAGATCCAAAAGCGCCTTACTATGAGAATATATGATTTATCTATATATCGCCAGAAGAAATTCCTAGTGTTAGTGCATTTTCACCAAAACGAAGCACAGTGATTGTTTTTGAGGATGTATGCCTAGCCCAGAATATATACAAAATCAAATCGGCCAATTTTTTGGGAATGGGCGACATCAGAATATTTCATGTGTATATGTAGCGCAAAAATACCACAAAATTCCTATATTTATTTGTGAAAACAGCTCACACTTAATACTTTTTAACTCAGGTAGCTCGCATGAAGATATTTCCAAGATTATTAGACGCTATACTGATGATGTAAAAAATGCATCTATGGTCATTAATAGCTACCTTCGTAAAGGTGAGTTTGTCGTATTTGATCTTACTAGGCCAGAAGATGATCCCCTTGCAATCCGCCTAAGGTTTGACACTCCCCTAAACCTGCAAAAAGAGATAATGGTGAGGCAGAAGCGCAAGGAAAAAAGCTTCTCAACTAATGAGTAGAATCTGTCTTAATAGATACCAGCTTTTTTTCGTAATTATAAAAAAATTGGAATGGGAGAACCGGTTATTTATATCAATCCTTAAAAAGCTCGAGACTTAGATCAGGATCTTACTTTACAGAAACTTTATTACAGACCTGAGGATATTATCGGTCTGCTGAAAAAATGCAAATGGCTTGTAAAAAAGCCGGATATGGGTTTACTTTGGCTGTTATAAAAAATTGGCTAAATAAGCAGGCTTTACATCAGATTCATAAGCCTCAGCCAAAATTTATTCAGTATGCCTCCTTTAATAATATACAATTTTTAAATGAAGTGCACCAGAGCGATACTACTCCCATGCCTCATGATAAAGTAGGTATTCAGATTTATAAGTATAGGGGCGTCATCAAAGATGTTGCAACTAGGTATCGTTGTAGTTTTGCATTGACTGATAAAACAGCCACACAGATGGCTAAAGCGATTCAGAAAATCTATGATGATCCTAATAACCCTCTTATCTATCCAAATACTTTTAATGTAGATAGGGGTACTGAATATATGGGCAAATGTAGAGATTTATTGCTTAGCTATGGTGTTAGAATTCAGTATGCTAACTCTAAACGTGGTGTAGCTATTGCTGAACGTGACCATCAAGAATTTGAAAAATATGCTTATTTTCGGCAAGATGCTGAAGATTTTCATTTACCTTTAAGTGATAGATCCAGAGCGTGGGTTAAGGGACTTCGTATAAATGATGATATTTACAATAACACTCCTACTCAGTTAATAGGAATGTCTCCCCATGAAGCTGTAAAATTAGCATTAAAAGGAAAAAAAATAATAGCTAGACCTTCGGTAAAACATAGGAGGCCAGTTGGTTATAATGAACCTCTTTTACCTAGCTATACAGAAGTTCGGCATCTATTAGAACCTGGTGAATTAGAAGGTGGGAGAAGAAGGGCAACTGATTGCAATTGGTCTCCCGAAGTCTTTACAATTGATTCTTATTTGATAAAAGAAAATCAGCCTATTCTCTACAAGCTTTACAAGGGTCCTAGACGCTCATTTGTAAGAGAAGAACTACAAATCGTTGAGCCAAATACAGTATTACCACCCAAATATATTCTCAAGCATTAGATTTACCTCCTTTCTCCTCCACTTGGTATAGGATTTGTTCAAAAGCATTGCTTAAGTAATCATTTATTTCATTTCTATTATAAACTATAATTTGCGTATTTCTAAGCCAGTCAGTTCGTGAATTCTTTTTTTCCTGTTTTTCATTCCCAGGTTTATCATCTATAAGAAATTTAGTAAGAGAACATAGAGCGAACTTAAATTGTCCACGCTTATCAAATTCCTTTTCAAGTATTTCTCTAAACTGCTTCCTTCTACTTTCTAACATTTTTCGTATATCACTACCATTATCTGGATGGGATTTGGGAACTTTTGCACGATGTACGGCTATAGCTCTTCTTTTAACCGCTGTTCCCAATTCTTCTTGTTCCCTAAATTCTAGATCTCTTTCTTGTTCATCAGTAATTTCTCCTAAGCGCTCAAATTCTTTATTAATCAAATTCTTAGATTTATCATTCCTATGAGCTTGTGTTCTAGGTTCAGGGTCAGCTTTAGGCTCTGATATCTTTTTATATTTCTCTAACTCTTTTAATGTCGGTAGGCGAACTGCCTCTGGATCATTTAGTTCAAGATCATGGAAAAGTGTTAGGCATCCATCTAGATCATTAGCTTCAAATGGCTCAACACCTAGATCTAATTCTTTCTAACATTTTTGCAATCTTGCTCCCCATGTCTTAATTCGCTCTCTGGGTTTACGTGCATTTGGACTGACCCAGTTTTTTGCCTCCTCTTCTGTGATATAGTCAACACCAAGTTCTAGCTCAGGAACTGGAATTGGGATTGCCACATGTGGCTTCCCCTTGTTGCTCATATTTACTCTAGAGCTTTCTACCTGTGCTTTGATTTCAGAAGTTTGGATAGCCTGTTGAGTAGCTTTTTGAATAGGCACCTGAATTGGCACTTGAATAAAAGCTACTTCCTTCTGCTTTTGTAATGGTTTGCATGGATTTTTTCGCTTAAGATGCTCACAAAGTTTTTGGGGTGTTGAGCATTCATGACCACAACGTTTACAGATTGTATCTTTTTTATCACTTCTTGTTTTTCTAACCATGGTGTTAGCTCTAACCGTCGCGCTATTACTTGCTTATAAAATTTTTTCTTTAATTAATTATTTCCTATTCCTTTCACTTTTCGATCAGTGAAGACGG